TTTCGGTGTTGCCTTGCCCTTGGCTCTGTTGGGGCTCAGGGAGAGCTGGAATCTTCCCATTGCCCTCGGCACCCCCCAAACACTGCCGGGAGCACTGGGGGCCTTCGCCCCTATTCCAGTAGAGATGTGCGAGCCCGTGCCCGCAAACAAGTTGATAATTGCTCCTACAGCTCCTATAGGTGGCCTCAAGGAGCCTCTTGCCTGGGGTGATACCAGCCAGGCTTGTCCCCTGTTTTACTGTCGCTCGGTAATTAACTGCTCAGCTGGCCTGTGCCCTGAGCAGTCAGCTTCTATGTAAGAGTGGGGACTGGGGGTGGAGCAGAGAATGGCCCAGGGCCGTGCCTGGTTTGGAGAGGGAAAATACCAAGGACCGCTTCTGGTACTTCCATTTTGCCGGAAGTCAGTCCTGCTCTCCAAGAGGTCACGAAGGCGAAAACAATAGGGTTTACTTCACAAACACTCGTGTCGTGGTTCTTAGGAGCCAGGTGCTGTTTATAACACCTTAGAAATATATATATGTATATTTAAATTTTTGTTTATTTTTGAAGGAGAGAGAGAGACAGAGCGTGAGCTGGGGAGGGGCAGAGAAAGAGAGACACAGAATCTGAAGCAGGCTCCAGGCTCCGAGCTGTCAGCACAGAGCCCGACGCGGGGCTCGAACTCATGAACTGTGAGATCATGACCTGAGACAAAGTCTGATGCTTAACCGGCTGAGCCACCCAGGCACCCTGCACCTTCGAAATATGAATTCACTAAGTTGTCATTACACATCCCATTCGCCCCTTACTTTACAAATGAGGAAGTGGATGCACAGAGAGGGCAGGTTGCTTAGCCAGTTACACAGTAAATGCTGAGCTGGAGTTGAACCCTGGCAGGGGGTGCTTCAGAGTCTGTGCTTGTGACACTGACTCTTCCCGCCAAGGGTTATTTCCGTGCAGGCCATGAGGAAGCCCGCCCTGCAGAACCAAGAGGCAGGGGGACCAGAGGCACACCTCTGCCAGGAGGGGGCAGAGCTAGTCTCTCAACTCTGAATTTTACCAAGTTGTTACAAAAAAGGGCTTTTGCCATGGACTCCTTAGATGGCGCTGGGTCCAGGAAGGGTGCCTCTAGGGGCTGTGTCCCTGGGGCATTTCTGCTGTGTGACCAAGATCCCCAGAACACTGGCTGGCTATCTGGGTTTCAAGACAGCAATAAGGGCCATACATTTTGTTTTGTTTTGTTTTTAATTTGAGAGAGAGAGAGAGAGAGAGAGAGAGAGAGAGGGAATGCATGCATATGAGCAGGGGGAGAGAGAGAGACAGACAGACAGACAGACAGAGAAGGAGAATTGCAAGCAGGCTCCAACACTCAGTGCAGAGCTGAGCACAGGGCTCGATCCCACGACCCTGGGATCATGACCTGAGTCAAAAATCAAGAGTTGGAAGCTCAACTGACTGAGCCACCCGGGTCGCCCTTTAATTTGTTTTTTAAGTGGAAAATGAAAGTTTTATTGAGAATTTGCCTTGGAAAAAAAACCCCAAAATATAAGTGTATGTAATCTTATATTTAATAAAACTTATGCTTTAATTAAAACTATGCATTAATTTCTCCCCCCAGCTTAATTGAGGTATAATTGACAAATAAAATAGTAATATTCTTAAAGTATTCAACGTGGTGATCTGATGCATGTGTACCTTGTGGAAGGATTCCCACAATCCAGTTAATTCCCACATTCATCACCTCATAGAGTTACCTTTTGTTTTGTTTTGTTTTTGTTAAGGATGTTTATTAGCAAATTTCAAGTACACGATATGGAATTATTACCCACAGTCACCATCCTGTACATTGGATTCCCAGAACATACTCAACTTTTTTTTTAAGTTTGTTTATTCATTCTGAGAGAGAGAGAGAGAGAG